CACTCCCAACGCTGCTGCCTCCCACCCCAATTGTAGCGTGGCCCAGCCCCCACACCGGGAAGAACCCAGTGCTGCCCCCAGCCCTAACCCACAGCAGCAGCCCATCCTGCCCCGCATGTAGATCCGGGGGAATGCACCCCCCTTTTGAGCACAACAGAGGGAGCCACCCCTCCCTACACCCTCTGAATGAACTGCTCGTGGCTCCATCCCATGCCCTGCCCCCACTGAGCAGCACCTGTCCCTGCCCCACTCCCTCCCTCATTGCAGGGGCCTCAGTCTGCCTCCCCAATCCCCTCCCCCCCTACTTCCCCCACACCAGACCTACCAGCCTAACACTGGTCTCCAAGCTGCCAGGCTGCTCTCCTGGCCCCATGCATGCTGCAGCTTTGCAATGCACGGGGCATTTATCGGCCACATTATCAGCTGCATCAGGTAAAAAAAGGCGATTTCTGATACTGTCAATTTTCCCTGTATCTGTGCACTACATCCCAAAATGCAACCCCCTTAGCATGATGCTGGAAATGTCCCAAGAAGCAGTGAGTACCACACTGAAGTGGCTACATGGTGTCTTTTTTGTGCTGTAGTGCGTAAGGACCAAGCAAGCCCATGCTTCACTGTGGCAAAACCATATAGTGGTTCTTTTGATGGTGTAGACATGGCAGTCATTTCCAGTGTGCAGTACGTGGGTACATTTCAGTATATTTCTTCTTTTGTTTCACTTTCTCCATTTTGTAGGTTGTAAGAAATACAAACCTTTTTTGGCTTATTTTTATCATTACATGTCATTTTAGACTGGACAGGAAAGGAATGATGTCCAAGTTACAGAGTGGATTGTGTCCTCCTATTTTCCTCAACTAAAAACATATTTCCACTTTGTATGAGAGATTTTTACTTGTGCTTATCTTTCAAAAGCTAGATAAATAGAGAGAGAATGAGATTCCAAATATACTGAGAGGGTTTTGCACGTATTTTTCACTGAAAGAAAAGAGTACAGATTTTTTCATAGTTTCATAATTTCTGGGGTCGGAAGGGACCTGAGCAGATCATCTAGTCCGACCCCCTGCCATGGCAGGAAAGAGTACTGGGGTCAAATGACCCCAGCAAGGTGTTCATCTAACCTCCTCTTAAAAACCCCCAGGGTAGGAGCTTGCACCACCTCTCTTGGAAGTTGGTTCCAGACCCTAGCCGCCCTGACCGTGAAATATCGCCTCCTGATGTCCAACCTAAACCTACCCTCTGCCAGCTTGTGACCATTATTCCTGGCCACTCCTGGCTGTGCTTGGGGGAACAGTGACTCCCCCAATGCCTGCTGATCCCCCCTGACTAGTTTATAACAGGCCACAAGATCCCCCCTCAGCCTTCTCTTTTGGAGGCTGAACAGGTTCAGGTCCCGTAGCCTCTCCTCATAGGGCCTGCCCTGCTGCCCCCTGATCATGCGAGTGGCCCTCCTCTGGACCCTCTCCATGCTGTCCACATCCCTCTTGAAGTGCGGCGCCCAGAACTGGACGCAGTACTCCAACTGCGGCCTGACCAGTGCCACATAGAGGGGGAGGATCACCTCTTTTGACCTAATTGAGGTTACCCTACATTACAGGGCATGATCTTAAGTACTTCATAATTTTAATTACACCGGTGGCTTGTTGTGAATAAGATTTTATGAGCATAAAAATATTTTTATTGTTTATATTTTCTGGAAATCCAGGAAATCAGAAATGCATTAGATATTGAAAATTTGTTATTTATTCTCATTGCCTTAACCTTCATTTGGAATAACATAAAATGCTATTTGAGTCAAATGAAATCCAATGAATTTTGAATCCACTAAATTGAGATGCTTACCTACCAAAAATGTAAAATAAAGAAGTTGGTATATACTAGGTAAAATCTTGATTTTTTTTAAACCAATGGGACATTGATTTGAATATGCTAAGATTTCTCCCAGTTTATCTCTAAAGTATTATATAATTGCTTAAAACATCATAGACTCTTATGTGTTTTTGTTCTCTCCTTGTTTCTGAGGTTTAACTTATAACTGGTAGCTTTGAAAATAAATTACCAATTTGAAACTCTCTTATGCCAATTAAAATATCATTTTTAAAGAATAAATCTGTAGAGTTACATTTTATATAAATGCTTATACGGATGCTTCCATGTCTGTTTTACACTGTCTGAATATACACTCCCACACATTTAGAATTTCCTTATAAGACACAAAGTAGTACTTTGTTGAGATATTCTATGATATTCCTAAACAAGCAAAGCCACTCAGTGCAGTACTACCTGTGAATTTAACTTTTCACTTTGGCACTAACCGGCTATACTGCTTCTGGTTTGGGAGCCAGCACATGAAAAGGTAGTCAGAATGGCCCTACTTTACACCATTTTAGAACTTCAGAACTTGGGAAAAGAAAACTGCTAATGTGAAAATATAAATGTGTAAATAGAGATGATAGTAGAGAAAGGTAATATACTGTATTTACTCGATTTGAAGATGAGGTTTCCCCTTCCCCCGTATAAGATGCGAAAAGCCGCTTGTCTTAAAATCAAGTATGAGGGGAGTGAGGTGGCAGACAGCTGCTGTGGCTTGGACTCCGGCCACTACCCAGGGTTAAGGCATAGCCACAACTGCTGTCTGCCTCCCTTTCCCCCTGCCACCTGTGCATCTCCATTCTCCCCCACAACCCACAACATGCAGCTTCTGTTTGCCCACCTTACCCTTGCTCCATGCTGGCAGGGTCCATCCATGCTGCAGCCTGGGACACTGAGCATGGCCCCAGTCTGGCCCTTTAGCCATGGTGCACAGCCTGCGTGGCAGCTGAGGCCATGCTTAATGTGCCAGGCTAGAACAGGGACAGAGCCTGCCATGTGGAGCAAGGGTAAGGGGAGGGGGAGAAGCAGAGGCTGGAGGGGAGGGGGAAGGAGGGAGTAGAGGCTGAAGGGGGAGTCGTACGAAGGGGAGCAGAGGGGAAGAGGGGCTCAAGGCTGTGGGTGGGGGGTTGGTAGGGGGCAGAGGTAGCAGAAGGGGAGGCACAAACAGGGGGTAAGCTGC